CAGGGGCCGCTGGGCAGCCCGGACGTGGGCAGAGCCTGCGAGCAGGGGCCACCTGCGGCCTCCCGTCCTTCCTGTTTCCATAGTGCTGGCCGGCGGGCGGGGCCACGCCTCCTGCCCGTTGGGAACCTTCCCAGCCCTGCACCTCCGTCCCCCCCCCTCGAGCTCCGCGGGCAGCGGCTGCCCAGCACGGGGTTAGGGGTCTGTCTTACAGGCAAGACAGACCCCATGACTTTTAACCTGCAGGCAGTCTCCCCTTCCCGCGCCAGCCTGGTCGTTGCACCCCGGTCAGCGGCGCACGCTGCCCCTAGTGGCTGCAGGCGGAGGGCTCGCAGCACAGGGGTCCCCGAGCCTGGGCCTGGGAACCACCTTGGACCCCCACCCTCCTGCTGCAAGGTCCAGGGGGTTGGTTCCAGCTTGTGACACAGTACGCCTGCCCCCAAGGGCCTCCTGGCCCTTAATCCCTAGGCTGAGAGCCCTGATGTGGCCGTGGGTCAGCATCAGGTGGCTGACCACCAGGTGGGCAGTCTGAAACCACCAGCTGCCCCTCGGGAGAGAAACGGGGCTGTCTGCCCCCGTGCAGACGGGGTGGCTTTTTTCTGTTGCTGCTGATAGTGTTCACCCCGAGGATACTCATGTTCCAGGCCCTCTGGGCCAGGTGCTGGACCCCTAACGGCCCTGCGTTGCAGAAAGGTGAGCTGGCCCTTGGGAAGCCCACCGGCAGCTCTGCTGTGTCCAGTAGGGCCACGGTGGGCCAGAGCTGTCCCGCTGGCCATCGGGGCGCCGTCGTAGCAGCTCCAGGCCTCCGGTGGGTTCCGGCCGCCAGCCCCCCGCCCCGTGTGCAGGGGTGCCCCAGCCCTCCCCACGTGTCCGCTGGGCTCCGACGGTGGTGTGGCTGGGCCCCGCCCCCCTCCTCACTGCCCCGCGCCCTCCCTGCAGGCCCCGAGCTCCGGCGATGGCCGCGGCGACCATCGTGCACGACACGTCCGAGGCCGTGGAGCTGTGTCCGGCGCACGGGCTGTACCTGAAGCCCATCACCAAGATGAGCATCAGCGTGGCGCTGCCGCAGCTGAAGCAGCCGGGCAGGTCCATCTCCAACTGGGAGGTGATGGAGCGGCTGAAGGGCATGGTGCACGGCCACCAGTTCTCCTCGCTGCGCATCGCCAAGAGCACCATGGACTTCATCCGCTTCGAGGGCGAGGTGGAGAACAAGGGCCTGGTGCGCGCCTTCCTCGCCTGCCTGGACGGCAAGACCATCAAACTCAGCGGCTTCTCCGACATCCTCAAGGTGCGCGCCGCCGAGTTCAAGATCGACTTCCCCACGCGCCACGACTGGGACTCCTTCTTCCGGGACGCGCAGGACATGAACGAGACGCTGCCCGGCGAGCGGCCGGACACCGTGCACCTGGAAGGGCTGCCCTGCAAGTGGTTCGCGCTGCGCGGCTCGGGCTCGGAGAAGCCCAGCGAGGAGGTGCTGGCGCAGGTCTTCGAGCGCTTCGGCGAGATCCGCCACGTGGACATCCCCATGCTGGACCCCTACCGCGAGGAGATGGCCGGCCGCAGCTTCCACACCTTCAGCTTCGGCGGGCACCTGAACTTCGAGGCCTACGTGCAGTACCGAGAGTACGCCGGCTTCATCCGGGCCATGAGCGCCCTGCGGGGCATGAAGCTCATGTTCAAGGGTGAGGACGGCAAGGCCGTGGCCTGCAACATCAAGGTGGGTGCGACCCGGGCGCGGCCACTCACCCCCGAGGGCTCCCCCAGGCCCCTCACCTCTGTGAGTGCTCCCCCAGATGGGCTCTCCCTCCCCCAGTGCACCCCACCAACAAGCCACACCCCAGCCTGTCTCACATTTGAGAATGCGGCTTTCAGCCCGCTGGACCGATTCTTCCCCACCCTCTGTCCCCCGAGCATCTGGGGTCGCCCCCAGACATGTTCCCCACCCTCGTGGCAAACAAGCTCCCCCGCCCCCCACCCCGCCCTCAGAAGTGCCGTGGTCCTGTCCCTGCCCCAGTGGAGCCAGGACACGGACGTGGGGGCCGCCGCGTG